TTAGTGAAAAGTGTATTTAGGCAACTAATCAGTTAATTCAATGGCAGGAGTTATAGATGGACTTGCATTGTAAGGCATTGGAATGAGCATTGGGAGCTATTTTATGGAGTCTCAGTAAATAGCAATAAAACTCAGTGCTAGTGCAAGAATTAATTATTCTTTAGGGTAAATTGTGAAAATGCACATGACTGTGTCTGACAGGTTTGCTTCTGAGGATCACGTGCTGGAGGTATGTAGTGATATGTTTCAGGGAAAATAAACACCAAGTGTTTGTGGTGACCTCCATTGAAATATATGAGGCCTCTTGATGTCTGATTTATTGTGGCATTTTCTAAATACAAGATAAGTAGCTCCTATCAAGATTTGGTGTTGACCTCTCATAACGGCCATGGTAGCTGTCTAATTTTTTTTACCCTTTCAATCTATAGCAGTGAAAAATGTCCAAATACTTCCTGAGCCAATTAATAAGCGCCTTTCTGTTCTGAGGCTGCTAAGAAGAGAATTTCATAGAGTCTATTATAAACACTTGAACTTGATGTTGGTAAGGAGGGTCTGGTTATCTCCTCTCCTTCTCCTATTTACTCTAGCATGGAAAACATGTCCTTTCACCTCAGACCCAAGGCTGTTATTGCAATTCTACAAAATTGCTGAGTAATATGCTTTCTCTGATTAACTATGTCCAGTTTTAGCACGTGGAGGTTTCCATCGAATTATCAGTGAACATCCCATCAAATGCAACCAAACAGCAAAGCAGACCCCAAAAATAAATTATGACTAGAGGTGGCACCCTTATCATTCACATTATTTTCCCTGTGAAAAGAGTGGGCAGTCTGTTTCTGCCAGCATTTAACTGTCTTTCTTGTCTTAGGGCTTTACTTCCAACCCACAAACTATTCTTAACATGGGCATATTTAGAAGGCTAACACACAAGGATGGATTAATTTATCAAAGCACCAAATTATGTAGATTATTTTTTTTTACATTAGCCCCCTTTGATTGCAATATAACAGGACATACTGAGGGTGCAGAAACACTGGTATGAAAAATGAATTCAACCACAGACAAAGCAACAGGGAAGGGCTAAGATGTGTAACTGTCATTTATTAAATTACATAAGCCACAGAATGTTTTCTTCTTCAATAAGAAATTTTGGTAAGCAAAACTACACTTGTTTAAAGTTATGATCTTTTAATGGAAACTGCAACAAGCCACTTTTTGCACCTGGAAAAAAATAAGCAAAATTAAGTGATCATTATCCACAAAGCAATCAGAAGTTTACAACCTTACTTTTCACTTTACCAACCCATTTTTATGGGCTGGATTTTGCTGGAGCGAGGAGAGGTCTCCTGGTGTTGTTTTTTTGTTGTTTTTTTTCAGCATAGGGTAATTAACATATATAGGTCACCACATCAGGTGTAAAAATCCTCCAACAACACATGACTTCTGCAAGACTGCAATGGATTCAAAGAGTACACAGACCTGTACACAAAGTACTCCTTTCACAGCAGGTGCTGTAGAAAAAAACTCCCTTCAAAAGAGCTTTTAATTACTGTATATCTTGGTTTAGAAGCTACCTTTGACTACCTTCTCCTTGGAAGATGCAGGAGAAAACAATTAAAGGTATGAGAAAGCAGCCCTCAATTTAAAGCTGCAGAAGACGGTAATGAGTGTAACAGAAGCTTTACCTTGTACACAAAGAATTATGGTACAGGAAGTCACCAGAGGCTGGGTAGTACATGGACATAATTAATATGGTAAGTCTAAAAATGTTTGACTACTGGAAGTTGAAAGATATAGCTGGTTGTATGGCCCATGTTTATTCACAAGTGTCCCTATAACAATGGAGTTGGTTGTTTACATGAAGTTATGTTTATATCTCTCAGCCATGTAAGTCATATTTTCTCTAAATTCCCTTTAGGTAGGAGTGACCTTCTTGGCTTCTAAGGTGCAGGACGGCACAGGATTTGACCCATTTGAAGCAGATAGATCGGGCTACAGACGAAGCCCTTTACAAGAGGAGAAAAGAGATCTTTTTGGTGTTTGCTAAACAGAACTAATGTCTTACGAGGATACAGCTCCTTCAGCTTTTTGCCCATGACAGCATAGCAGGCTCTATTTAGACACAGTGCAAAAAAAGGATTTTGAAGATTTAATGTGTTGGGTTTTAAAAAAAAAATAAATTAAAAAAAAAAGAATGGAAATTTAAAAAATATTTTCAGTGTTTATCGGAGCTAATCCTTGATAGTCAATGACATGAAAACTTCTGGGGTAGGGGAGAAGGGCATAACAACAAAAGAGTCCATGTGAATTCCACCGAAGTTAAGGGCAAAAATATTGCTGACTAAAACAAGACCAGAAAATGCTTCACTCGATAGTGTTTTGTTAAGTATATAAAGGTTAATTAGACACTTTCTTTTGCATTATATAGTAGGAAACCTCTATTAATTACTGCTTCTTTAATTTAACTGATTCATTAAAAACTGACTATAGAAACAGAAAGAAAGTATTTTCTTTCCCATAGTACCTACCCTACTTCTACAGTCCAAAGCCTTAATAAAAATCAGATTTTAACAGAGATACTGAATGGTTAATCATAACATACAGCATCACTGAAACCCTAAAATGAATGAAGCTTCCACTGACTTCAATCAGACTCTGTTCTTCTAAACATCTCAGTTTTTGTTCTTGTGTTTTCTAGTGTCCTACGTTACAGAAGAAAAGGTTGACATTAACAGCTTACTTTTATATTAATAGCTTGCTTTGTCATTATTTTTATTTCAAGTTCATAACGCAAGTAAGGTGTATTTCTATAAATGCTTCATTTTATGAGCTTTTGTGCATTTTTTCAACCAATTAGTCAAATTGCCTTTTTAGCTGTCTTTCCTTGCTAAATCAAGCTTTTTTAGTTTTTGTTATTTAGTGCACTACTGTATTCCATTAAACACAAAGTTCAATTATTTGTCTTTGGAAGGTCTGAGTGCCTTACTTCAAATGCCAAGTGCATTAAGAACAGGCCACCCTTGACTTTTGCAAGAAGAAATAGAAGGATAAGAAGTTGGTTGGATTGAAAAAAATTTTGAAATCAAGCTTGTGTGTGTATGTGAACATACCAAAATAAGGATTAAATACTGTCAAATCATCAAGAACACCTTTTTTTGCCACTTACCATTTTTTCATCTTAAAAAGAAACAAAAAGCAGAAAAATCTTGCTTTTAAAACAAAGGACAGAAGACACTGAACTTGGATGAAAATGGATGATAAAACATTTTAGTAACATAAAAATAGGGCTTTAAAGCCACACAAGTGTAAATGAGGGCAAATTCTACTGTAAAAATGTTGCATTTTTGTTGTGACCACTTGGGAACTCTGCTATTGTGCCTCTTCCAAATTATGTTCACTGTCCTTATGTATTTGTATTTCCATTTTGAAGTCAAAATGTCTTTTCCCTCTCTACTGAGACTGAACCCGCAGGGGATGGCAAAAATTCTTGTAGACAGCATGAGTTTGCTAAGAGATCTTGGTGAACTTTGCAAAGAGATGGTTCTCAGCCATCCCAGTTTAAACCTCATCTCTGTATTGGTGGGGGATTTCTGCCATCTGTATAAATGGCTTCAGATGGTCACCTGCTAAAAGGATCTGAAGTTTTTAAAAGAGAAGAAAAGCAACTTAAATGTTGAATGATGCACCACTTCAACATGGCTGGCTGGTTATGAACTGGAGCCTTACAAGGGCTGTAGGCCAGACCATACACCTTGAACCCTGTGGAGCAGTTCCTGGTTGTAGGAGTTGTCCTATCAGAGCTACTTCAGTGAGTAAAGGCAGCAGAAGAGATACAAGCATAGCAGCAATTAGTTTCTGCAGAGTTTTTAATAATCTATTTAAAAGCCAATTGTCTATGGCAGGCATATTCAGCAGGCATGTGTCGCTATCTGTGTAAATGGCAAACTTTGAGTAAAGCAGAGATTAATTTAATTAAGTTTAAACATTTCAGCTTTTTATTTTATGGTTACACACATAAGTAGAGCAATAACTGAATACAAATGTTGCATATTTACTGTGGCATGATCCAAGCAATTACTAGTAAAGTATTAAGGAAAAGCCTCATTTCACTCTTTTAATTTTATTTTATAATTAGGGGGGAACCATATTTTGGTGAATACATTTATAGTTAGAAGTTATAGATTATGCTTCTAGTTGTTTTGGAAGGATGATTTTAGCCCCGTTGCTAAAAGCCTGTTAGCAACAATTAAAATAGCTATAAAAAAGCATTTATAGCTTTCGTACTTGTTTTTCTTGTTAGTTTTCATCAAATATTTCACAGTCACATGATGTGTGCAGTCTGCTAATAGTCACCAGCACAGATCTTTAAAAAAGGTTTTAAACATCTGGTTAAAAGCACAGCTTTTTATGTGCTGTGATTGTTAGTTCATTCTTCTTCCACAAGTGTTGTGCCAGTTGTTCATTATGCCTCTGACTTCTCTTCGTTTTTGTTCTCAAAAATTATTTGAAAAAGTTTGGAAGGAAAACTTAAAAGCAGAGTAAAAACAATACTGGCAACTTCTTTGAGTGCCAGAGTTGTAACTGCTTTCTGTTGAAATGTTTTCCTGACTTCTCATTCAAACAAAGATTTCTGTACACAGTATTACAGGAAGGGCTGACTGCAAAGTGCAGCATGGCAAACCTCTATGTATATTCTACAGATACCATACTATTTTAAATCAATCTGTTCAGCTTAGTTTCCATCCTGAGGGAGAACTGAGAAACACAACCACCAGTTTCTGTCACGTGCTGCATCGTATCAATTAAAAATAAATGAAATTTAATGCAAAGAAAACTTAAAAATCCTAGCAAACAACAACAGAACCTTTCCATTACTGATTTTCACTCATCAGAAGTGGAGAGAGCCTCAGACAGCAGACAGCATGGTCCCAGCATGCTTTTTGCCTTTTTTTTTGTTTGCACAGTAGCTGTCAGTTGCAGCCCTGCAGGTAGTAGAACCCAGTGGGAAGAGGGGCGGGACAGAGCGATGCTGCCTGAACTGACAGCAAATTTAAATTACTGAGCTTTCTTTTCCTTTTTTTTTTTTTTTCCTTTTCCTTTCTTTGCGTGCCTTTTTTTATTTTATTTCTTTTTCTTTTTGGTATTTTTCTACCCTGCGACAAAGTGAAAAGATTCTAGCACACGCTAATTTAACAGCCCTGCTTCGTCGTCTTCTTTTTTCTTTTTTTTTTCCCCCTTCTGCTTCCAGGATAATTAAAAGAGAAACCTGTAAAGGCAACGTTTCTTCAAGCAAGTTGGTGCTGCAACGTGCTGGTAAGATGAATTTATATTTATTTTTTTTTTCCCTTCCCCATCTTTTCTTTTCCTTTTTTGGAGCTGAAAGCTTTTGTATATCTAACACAGTCATAAGTGTAGTTCCCCTGCTGTGGAGGGTTAGGATGTAATGAAAAGGTGTAACCGCTTGATATGTGACCTTCTCCTATTACTTAAAATGGATAATAACAGCTTTCCTGTCTGTCCTCATGATGCTTTTCTCTCTGTGAATTGACTATTTGCTCAACAGAAACGATGCTGTGATTGTCGCACTATGACAATGAGGACTTGACTGTTTTTTGGTTTCTGTTCCACGCACCTATCAGAAAAGATACTTTAGTTGGGGGGGGGTTGTGTGTGTGATTTTTGTTTAATGATTGCTGCCTGAAGCACTGATACGACGGGGGTGGAGATGGGGGTGGAGGAGATGGTCTTGGGTATCATTCTGCCAGTTCAGCTGTCTAGTTGGTAGAAAAGTGCAACACTGAAACTTTTCTAAAAAATAAATAAATATTTTTCAGCTTGCATCAAGTGAGGTCAGTGTATCCAGGATTTATTGTTGTCCAGTGCTGGGTAAAGTTCTTGCTGTCCCTTGCATTGTTCCTCTGGAGAAAGGGGGAAGGGATGTTCCACTTCTTGTCTCGTCATACCATTGTAGTAGCTAATTGCAAGAAGCTGACAAACTTTGAAATTAAATACCAAGTGTTGCATATGTAAAAAATGAATTTGATGTTTTTTCCTATGAATAAAAGCCTGCCAGATACAATCAGGTCTGTCTTATACATGTTGCAGCTCCTGCCTTGCAAGTCCCTCGATTTCCAAGGTTTGCTTTCTAGCTTCATTATTAATACCATTCTCATTTAGAAAATGACATGTGTTTTGCTTCTGCTTTGTGTTTGTCCTTATAAAACGTATACAGTGACAGGTTTTTTTCTCAGGCTTTCCAAGGAGTAAATGCTACAATACTTACTGAAATCAACAGGAAGGCTGAGCTTGTCATGTATTTAAGAGGAAATTACTGAGTACATGCAGAACTGGATCTTACAATTGCTGAACTACTTCTCTTTTCATGTAGTTTTCCTATAGTTCCTGCAACAGTTTACACTTAATACTTGATTGTGTAAGCTTTTACTGAAGTATTTAGAATAAACTACATGAATAAACACTACCCTTACCGTTATTCACAGGTTTGTGTCCATGTTGAAGAAAACTTTTGAACATAGGATAGGATATTTCAGAGAACTCTAATGGTTTTAGAAAGCCAGTGTGATTCAGTCCTGCAATTCCTTGAAAGCTGTTTTCCTCAATATTTAAAAAAATACATAAATAAAAAGAAAAACACAAACAAACAAACAGAAAACAAACAGATGCCTTGAAATTAAACACCTCTAGATTGATACATCAGATTATCCAGATTCTGAGGTCTGTTTTGGCAAATGCATAATGTGATCACAGGAGCAAACTTGTGCAAGGAGAGGGGAGATGAGGAGCAGCCAGGGATTAAACACAGGCTTCTTTACATGTCTCTAGAGAGAAGGAGACAATGTGCCAATGCCATATGGAAAATCACATTCCTTCACAGTAACTTTGTTAGGCCACAAGGTTAAGGACACTGCACTTGCCAAAGTTCATCACTCTATTTTAGCCTCAATTTCAAACACTGCAATACTTTTCAGAAAGTTTACATTGCTTGGCCAGAAAATGATGGTGTCTTGTGAAACGAGGTCATTGTATCTCCCATATCTTGCTTTTGCCCTCACAACTTGCCTCCCCTCACCCCAACACCAAGGTCTGCAAGTGCAAGGCCCAGAAAATTAGGCTTTGTCCCTTGTAATCTTAAACTCCCATCCATTTAAAACTAGAGCAGAAAAGGATTGGATTCAGTGTTCTTGTTATGGAAATAAGTTTTTATTCACTCAGTATCAACTGACAGTTAGAAGCGTATCTGATGTAATATGAATAAACCGTAGGCTGTTGACAGTAAATTATGCAGCTGTAGTCTCACACTCTCCTAGAAACGGTGCTTTTACAATGCCCAAGTGGCTTAATGGGGTGAAACAACTACCTAGACTCTCACTTGAGTTTCCTAATCACCCAAAGCCATTAGAAGTTCATGGTGGCTGATTCCCGCTGCTCTTGGTGAACATCTTAGCAAGGAGCAGACTGCATGGAGTAAAGCTTGAATGTAGCCAGGGATACTCAGTTATAGAGGTGATGGCAAAGTTAGTGTTATGAGGTGGCATGAAAGCATAGTACAGCCAAGTTTTAATGCTGAGTGTGGTGACATGAGTTTGTTTCTGAAGTCACTAAGTATAAAAAGCCAAATATCTGTACCTTTAAAAACACCCATTCTAACCTAATCTACCAATCTACTTTCTCTTTGAATTTAGTCTTTAAATATATGTATTTCTAATTAATCTGCGCACTTTAAATCACTGCTGGCTTCTAGCAATACTGCTTTCCACCCAGTGCTTGGAAATTTCTAGTTGAATGGAATTGCTTTCATTGTAACAAAAAGAAAATAAAAAACACAGACCAGAAAACGTGCTGTAATTTCCTGTCAGTAACACAGAAATAAGGAAACACTAGGCTAATAAAAATGATAATCTGAGTTTACAACTGTTAACAAGATTCCTGAATAGAAATGGTGCTATTATACACAAAGAACTTCTGCCATCACTAGATGAACATAGAATGAAATTATGAGTTTTATTATTCAGGTCCTGTCATCCAATCAGAAATCAACCCATAATCTCATTTGTGAAATACCATAAATTTTGGCATCTTCCCTCCCCTGCTATTAGTAAAACATTAAAGAAGTTTTATAATTAGAAACTCTGATAACATAGCTATGAATTTTCTTCACAGGAAAAAGCATAATTCTGTATTTCTTCCACAACTCCAGCTCTCCATATAAAGTCACTGCAAATCTGAGTTGCAAGCAGCAGGTTGATGTGGGGAAAATCCCAACATTGCCATGGGCAATAATGATGGGATTTCATCAGCTTCTTTCTCTTGAGAGAGACCAGATTCTTAAACTTTTCTCAGGACTCTGCAAAAGTACTTAAGAACGTGCCATAGTACGTTTTTCCCCGGCTGGGATTATTTATTAGCATTACATTCTGGTCAGCTGAATTGAAGAACTGAAAAGTGATGACAAAATGCTTAGATTTTCACCTCTGAGGATTATTTTTTTTTTTCATTCTAGTAATAAAAGACTTTTACATTTCTCTTCTCTTCTAGCTGCAAATGATTTATGGCATTACAAGGGGCTTGCTGTGTTTCCATTTGATTTAACAAATTAGCTATGGTCTTCTTTCAACAAGAGCCATTCCTGAAGCTCTTCATCACCAAATGAAGCAAGACGGCTGCACCTGGCTCAGAGTGGTCCCATGTCTCTGGTCCTCCTCCACTAGCTGATTGATAACATATTGGGCCAACACTTGTCAAGACAGAGTCCTTCCACAAGTCTGGCAGCTAGTCACATTTTTCATCTCCTTGGTGTGCAAGGTTTGCTGTAGGCTCCCGGGGACTCCTAGGCCTGTATAAGGTACAGGAAACCCTAAAAATAATCTACTACCTACTAATTACTTTCATCACTCCCAAGAGCACACAGTATTTATCAGGTCACTAGATATGAAGTAAGGATATAAAGAAATACTTTATCCTATTAAGGTAAATGGTAAAATATTAGCAAAAATGAAACACAGTGGAAAAAGTAGTAGAGCCCCAGAGAGCTCAATTCTAGACTATAATTATCACACAAAGACTTCCTTGATTTCTTTGCTTCTCTGGTGACCTGTGAGGCTGATAACTTCACTCCCATCCTAAGGCTGATGTGTTCCCAGACCTCTTGGAGCCACATCTTTACTACTCCTGTTATTGAAGACACTTACTGTCATGTTCCTTGGGGAAAGTAACAAAGGGGGAGGGAGCCAAAAGCTCTGCACATAGATCTATTTTAATGTGGTTTCACAAACTGTAACCTCCAGCTGCTTCAATATCCCCCTTTTAAGTGTCTGGTCTCTGCCCATGGCATTTGGACACCAGACACATTGAAATGTAGATGCTTATGCTGTTGACACCTGCATCTGAGCTGACCACCTCAGGGTCCTGTTACAGTCAGAAGAAACAAGCAGTTGCTTCCAGGAAGTGAATTATCTGACCTATTTTAAACATCTGGTTTTCTTTGAATCCCACTGAAGGACATCACATTCAAAACTCAGATCATTTAACTGCCTGTCCTCTAATTTTCTTAATTAACCGTAGTGTTGCACTGCTTAATTTAGACATCTTTCCATCATCTGCTTGGCTTCTCTTGAAACTACTTCATAAAGGCAGATAAAGGCAGTAGGTTTAAAACTCTGTAAATTACATACTTTGGAAAACAGTCATAGTACTGTTGACTTACCGAGACTCATATACCTGACAGTGAGTTTAAAAGAGGGTTAATCATAGTGCAACTAAGACTGGATTGCATAGACACAGTAATATAAGTCACATATTTTGTTAGTCCTCAAGGGCTACTGGGGGATGAAGTCACAAGTGCATTCCAGGCAGTGTGTTTAACGTACAATTAATCTTGTTCCTCATGGTTACTTTTTATCAGGCTGAACTGATGTAGGGAAA